ATTTTCTCCCCCACCCTTTTTCATTGGATATATTTTAACCATGACGTTCTTCGTCGCCCATAGACCATATTTCAGATCCAATATCTTAAATGGAAAATTCACCAAAAAAAAATTACAGATTTCCTTTAGAATATTTTAAATTTGTGGTTTTATTTTGCAACCACCCTGTGCTGTAGGCCAACAGCTTAAATACAAACAAAACCTCGAAAACCCCTCACAAAAGTCACCAAAATCCGTAGTGGTTAGTATTTGTGAAAATTCTAGATTTAGACGTTTAATGGTTTGTAGACTCAAGGAAAAATCTCTTAAAAATGTTTTAAAAAAATAAAAAAAATTTTTTTAATTAGAAAAAAAGTTTTAGAAAATGTTTTTCTATGGGTCCTAGGAAAAAATCCACCTTTGCTGTTTAAAAAAAAAACATCATCCATAGGACTAAGGTATTTTTTTTTCTATTGGAGAAATGGGTGAAAATTTAGAGAAACATCTATAAAAAAATAGGTTTAAAAAAATATGTATATTTCTTTTAAATTTAAAAAAATATATATATTAATGAAATTTTCATGGGTCCTTTGAAAAAAAAAAAAAAAAAAACATTTCATCATTGCTCTTGAAAACAAAAAAACATCAGGCCATAGGACCGAGACATTTTTTGCTCGTGGAAAAAATTAGTTAAAATTCAAGAAAAAATCTATAAAAAAAAAAATATTTTCAAAAATACTTTTTTAATTCAAAAAAAAAAAAAAAATTAAGAAAATATTTTTCTATGGGTCCTTGATAAAAAATAATTTTAAAACTCCACCTTTACTCTTGAAAAAAAAATCAGGCCATGGGAATGTGTCAATTTTTCCTCTTGAAAAATTAATGAAAATTCTAGGTTTGGAGGTTCAAAGGTTTGCACATTCAGTGACTAAAATATCAAAATGTTTTTTTTTTTTTTTTCAAATAATTTTTTTTATTCAAGAAAAAAAAAAAAACATCTTAAGGATATATTTTTCTGAATTTTTCAAAAATTCACTTTTTCACTTGAAAAAAAATCAGGCGCTAGGACTGGTGCAATTTTTTCTCTTGAAAAAAATTATTGAAAACTCTCACAATTTTTTTACAAAAATACTTTTTTTTTTAAATTCGAAAATTTGTGAAAATTCTCACAATTTTTTTTTTCTAAAATACTTTTTTAAATTCGAAAAAAATCTTAAGAAAATATTTTTCTATGGGTCCTTGAAAATAATATTTTTGTTAAAATCCTCCATTGCTCTTGAAAAAAAATCAAGAAAAAATCTATCAAAAAATATTTTCAAAAATATTTTTTTAATTCAAAAAAAAAAAAAAAAAAAAAAAAAAATGTTATGAAAATATTTTTCTATGGTTCCTTAAGAAAAACAATTTTAAAACACCACCTTTACTCTCGAAAAAAAAATCAGGCCAAGGGACTGTGGCAATTTTTCCTCTTGAAAAAAATTAGTGAAAATTCTAGGTTTGGAGGTTCAATGGTTTGCAGACTCGGTAAATAAAATATCAAAATGTTTTTTTTTTTTCAAATAATTTTTTTTATTCAAAAAAAAATCTTAAGGATATATTTTTCTGAATTTTTCAAAAATTCACCTTTACTCTTGGAAAAAATCAGGCCCTAGGACTGGGGCAATTATTTTCTCTTGAAAAAAATTATTGAAAATTCTCACATTTTTTTTACAAAAATATTTTTTTAGATTCGAAAATTTGTGAAAATTCTCAAAATTTTTTTTTCAAAATCCTTTTTTTAAATTCGAACAAAAAAAAACGTATGAAAATTTTTTTCTATGGGTCCTTGAAAAAAATATTTTTGTTAAAATCCTCCATTGCTCTTGCAAAAAAATCTAGAAAAAATCTATCAAAAAATATTTTCAAAAATATTTTTTTAATTCACAAAAAAAAAAAACAACAAATGTTAAGAAAATATTTTTCTATGGTTCCTTGAGAAAAACAATCTCACAATTTTTTTACAAAAATACTTTTTTTAAATTCGAAAATTTGTGAAAATTCTCAAAATTTTTTTTTTCAAAAATATTCTTTTTTTTAAATTCGAAAAAAAAATCTTAAGAAAATATTTTTCTATGGGTCCTTGACAAAAAAAAAATATGTTATCAAAAATCCAGCTTTGCTCCTGAAAAAAAAAAACAGGCAATAGAAATGGAGCATTTTTCTTCAATTGAAAAAATTTTGTAAAAAATTCTAGGTTTTGAAGTCTAGTGGTTGGTACACTCAAGGAAAAATATATCAAAATTCAAAAAAAAAATCTTCAAAAATCACTGCTTATTGAGTCCTTGAACAAGATATTTAAAAAAATCTACGATCTCTGCTCTATGGTTACTTAAAAATAAATATTTTCCACAATCCACCTTTCCTCTTGAAAAAAATCAGGCCTTAGAACTCAGGCATTGTTTTTTCTCTCCACGGGGTGAAAAACGATAAGGAGAAGGCTGCCTAAAATCTCGGTGTTGAGGAGCTGGCCAGAGTCTCTGTGCAGAGAAGCTGGACAGCCAGGGTCTCGGTACAAAGAAGCTGTCGGACAATACCCTCGATACATATCAACTGGCTGGCGCGACTTTCGGTACAGTGAAGCTGGTGGCCCAAACTCTAGGTACACAGAAGTTGGCTGGCCAGGGTCTCGCTACAGAGAAGCTGGCTGGCCAAAGTCTCGCTACAGAGAAGCTGGCTGGCCAAAGTCTCGTTACAGAGAAGCTGGCTGGCTAGAGTCTCGGTACGGAGAAGCTACCTGGCCAGAGTCCCGGTAATCAGAAACTGGCTGGCCAGTGTTTCGTTACAACGAAGCTGGCTGGCCAGAGTCTCGGTACAGAGAAGCTGACTGGCCTGAGTCTCGGTACAGAGAAACTGGCTGGCCAGGGTCTCGCTACAAAGAAGCTGGCTGGCCAGAGTCTCGCTATGGTGAAACTGGCTGGCAAGAGTCTCGCTACATAGAAGCTGGCTGGCCAGAGTCTCGCTACAGAGAAGCTGGCTTACCAGAGTCTCGATACAGAGAAGCTGGTAGGCCAAAGTCTCGCTACTGAGAAGCTGGTTGGCCAAAGTCTCGCTACAGAGAAGCTGGCTGGCCAGAGTCTCGCTACGGAGATGCTGGCTGGCCAGTTTCCCGCTACAGAGAAACTGGCTGGTCAGTTTCCCGCTACAGAGAAACTGGCTGGCCAAGGTCTCGCTACAAAGAAGCTGGCTGGCCAGAGTCTCGCTACAGAGAACCTGACTGCCTAGACTTTCTGTACAGAGAAGCTGGCGGGCCAGAGTCTCGGTACAGAGGAGCTGGCTGACCAGAGTCCCGATTCAGAGCAGCTGGTTGGCCAAACTCTCCGTATCGAGAAGCTGGCTGGCCAGACTCTCTATCCCGATAAGCTGGCTGTCCAGACTCTATGTACGGAGGAGCTGGCTGCCTAGACTCTCTGTGCCGAGGAGCTGGCTGCCTAGACTCTCTGTACCGAGGATCTGACTGGCTGGCCCGACTCTCTGTAGAAAAATTTTCAATTTTTTTCATTTGACCCAACATTTTTTCTTTGGGTGTAGTTGTTATTTAAAATACTCCAAGGCGTGATAATGCTCTGGTTGACAATTGCAAGGCAACACAAAAAAATGTAAAAAATAAAAAAATGAGGAAGTTTCTTTGCCTTCCGGACAATTCAGCGAGTATTCCAATGAAAATGGTGTGGCCTATTTGTTGCCACTTATTTTTTTTTTTTTTTTTTTGCGGAAAAATTTGGCAGTGGCTGATAGTATTTTGAGTGTTTAAAAATTGTTCCCGCTGGCCATGTTATAGGGTGAAAAATATTTATTTTTTAGAAAATTCAACAGGTCTCCACGAGGCTCACTGCTCCGCCAGGCTTCCTGACTTACCTTACCCCTCAGTTTTTCTATTTATATGGCAGTCCCCCTTTCTCTTCATCTCGCCCGCACAGCTCTCACTGGTCCTGATTCTGATTTAATTTATTAAGGAAATTGCCCTCTCTTGCTCCTCTCCTCTTTCCACTCCACCTCTCGCGTAGAATTATTCCCATTAGTTTCGAATAAAGTTTTCAACAAATTTTCAATTACAATTGTTTATTTACCTTTTGCTGTCACGCTGAGAGGTGCGGAGGTGGGGCAACTCCTTTTGTTTTGGCAACAAAATATGCTGGCACATTAACACATTCCCACGCCCATACACACACACACACACGCATACCCACATTTTATGTGTGGCATATGGCACAAAAGTTTCTTTTGCTCCTGGCTGGAACCTTGTGCTACTCCTTCTGCTGCAACTTCTTCTTCGTGATGTTGATATTTCTATTCTGTAAATAGTTGCATGTTTTATGGCAGTTAATTTACAATTGTTGCTCAGTTTGTTGCATCCACAACTTGCAGTTGTACGAGAAGCTACTCCAGCTCTCTCCCTGCTCCGAAAAAGAAAAAGAGAGCAGCCAGCCTGCAGGTTGCTGGCTTTTTGTTGCAACCTTGTGGCCACAGATTGGGAGGAGTTTCCAAAGTAAGTAAATCTAAACAATCAACGTTGTTGCCTTCTGCTGAGTGTCGGAACTCCGTAGAGTGCAACAACAACAACTGAAAAAAAGGAAAAACCTCTGCAAGCTTTATAAACAAAAATCTTAACCAAGACCGCCAACACCACCTCTGGGCCTTCTAATGAGGTTGCCTCGGCTGGTTGTAGTTACAAATAATTACTCCAGTTATTTGCAGCCAAATGGGAGTGTCTTGCCACTCTGGCAACCCGCTGGCTCTTGGCAATTGTGCAAAAGAAGATAAATTTAAAAGTTAAGCACAAGCACCCAACAAAGAGGCTGGCTGAGTGTCAAAAGGTTGGAGAGAGAGGAAATTTGTTAACTTAATTTGCAAAAAAACGAATTAATAATGTGGAGTGTTGTGTGCTTGGAATTGCAACAAATGAGAGGAACTTATGTTCTCCACGGGAGAAAAAAAGGAGAAACGATTGGGGAATGGAGGTGCAAGAAGACTTTAATGGAAAGATGGCCTGCAAGAGCCTAGAAATTGAGGATCTGGCTGGTAAAACTCTCAACACCGTGAAGCTGGCTGGCCAGAGTCTTGGTACAGAAAAGCTGGCTGACCAAAGCCTCGACAAAGAGAATTTAGACGGCCAGGGTCTCGATATAAAGTAGCTTGTGGCCAAGACTCTCGATACATACCAACTGGCTGACCCGACTTTCGGTACAGCGAAGCTGGCGGCCCAAACTCTCGAAATAAAGAAGCTGACTGGACAGAGTCTCGGTACGGAGAAGCTCACAGGACAGAGTCTCGGTTCAGAGAAACTAGCTGGTTAGAATCCCGGTACAGAGAAGCTGCTTGGCCAGAGTCTTGGTACAAAGAAGCTAGCTGGCCAGACTTTCGGCACTAAGAAGAAACGATATCTGCACAAAGAAACTGGATGGCCAGAGTCTCGGTACAAAGAAGTTTGTCGCCAAAACTCTCGTTACATATTAATTGCCAGGACCAACTTTCGGTACAGTGAAGCTGGCGGCCCAAAATCTCGATACAGAGAAGCTAGCTGGGTAAACTCTCGGTACAGAGAAGCTAGCTGGCTAAACTTTCGGCAACGAGAAGCTGCCCGGCTAGAGTCTTGGTACAAAGAAGCTAGCTGGCCAGACTTTCGTCAATGAGAAGTTCGATGCTCAAACCCTCGGTACAGAGGAGCTAACCAGCCGGGTTCTCGGTACAGAGAAGCTGGATGGCCAGAGTCTCGGTACAAAGAAGTTTGTGGCCAAAACTCTCGTTACATATCAACTGGCAGGACCAACTTTCGGTACAGTGAAGCTGGCGGCTCAAAGTCTCGATACAGAGAAGCTAGCTGGGTAGACTCTCGGTACCTAGAAGCTGGCTGGCCAGTGTATCGCTACAGATAAGCTGGCTGGCCAGAGTCTTGGTACAGAAAAGTTTCGGCGCTGTGAAATTTGATGCTCAGACTCTCGGAATAGGGGAGCTAACAAGCCTGGGCCTCGGTACAGAGAAGCTAGGCGGTCAACTTCTTGATACAAAGTAGCTTGTGGCCAAGACTTTCGATACATACTAACTCGCTGACCCAACTTTCGGTACAGTGCAGCTGGCTGCCCAAACTCTCGATACAGAGTAGCTAGCTGGTTAGACTCTCGGTACAGAGAATCTGCCTGGCCAGACTCTCGGTACAGAGCAGCTGCTTGGCCAGAGTCTTGGTGTACAAAGAAGATAGCTGGCCAGACTTTCGGCACTGAGAAGTTCAATCTCAAACTCTCGGTACAGAGAAGCTGGATGGCCAGAGTCTCGGTACAGAGAAGCTGGATGGCCAGAGTCTCGGTACAGAGAAGCTGGATGGCCAGAGTCTCGGTACAAAGAAGTTTGTGGCAAAAACTCTCGTTACATATCAACTGGCAGGACCAACTTTCGGTACAGTGAAGCTGACGGCCCAAACTCTCGATACAGAGAAGGTAGGTGGTTAGACTCTCGGTACAGAGAAGCTGGCAGTCTAAAATTTCGGAAATGAGAAGCTGTCCGGCTAGAGTCTTGGTACGAAGAAGCTAGCTGGCCAGACTTTCGGTACTGAGATGTTCGATGCTCAAACTCTCGGTACAGAAGAGAGAACTAGCCAGGGTCTTGGTACAGAGAAGTTGGATGGCCAGAGTTTCGGTACAAAGAAGATTGTGGTCGAAACTCTCGTTACATATTAACTGGCAGGACCAACTTTCGGTACAGTGAAGCTGGCGGGCCAAACTCTCGATACAGAGAAGGTTGGTGGGTAGACTCTCGGTACAGAGAAGCTAGCTGGCTAAACTTTCGGCAACGAGAAGTTGCAGACTCAGACTCTCGGTACAGAGAAACTGGATGACCAGACTCTTCGTAAAGAGAAGGTTGCTGACCAGACTCTCGGTTGTGAGGAACTGACTGGCCAGACTGTCGGGACAGATAATCTGGGCGGACTGACTCTCGTGACAAAAAAGTTGGCTGGACCGACTCGGTTCGGATAAGCTGGCAAGTCAAACTCTGAAGCTGGCTGGCCAACCTCTTGGTATTGTGGATCTGGGCAGACTCTCAGTACAGAGAAGCTGGCTGGCCAAACTATTGGTACAGAGAAGCTCGCAGGTCACAGCCTCGGTACAGAGGAGCTGGCTGCCCAGACTCTCGGCACAGAGAACCTGCCTGACCAGAGTCTCAGTACTGAGACGTTTGATGGCCAGACTCTCGGAGCGAAGCTGGCTGGCCAAAATTTCGGTACAGGAAAGCTTACCTGCCTGAGGAGCTGGTTGGCCACAACTCTCGGTACAAAGGAGATGACAAGCTAGACTCTCAGCACTGAGGAACTGGATGCCCAGACTCCCAATTCTTAAAAGCTGAATGGCCAAATTCTCCGCACAGAGAAGCTGGTTAGCCAAACTTGCCGAATAAGGAAGCTGGCAGCTCAGACTCTCGGTTCAGTGATGCTGGCGGGCCAGACTCTCTATACCGAGAAGCTGATTGTCTTAACTCCCTGTACAGAGAAGCTGGCTGGGCAAACTCTCGGGAGAGAAAAGCTGGCTGTCCAAACTCTCGGAGAGTAAAGCTGGATAGCCAGAGTCTCGGTGCAAAGAAGCTGGCATTCCAGGACTATGCCTTTTGAAAATTTTCCATCAAAATATCTCTCGCTCTCTCTCTCTCTCTCTCTCATTTTATTTGCATTTTAAAATGTCCCATAAGAGCATTTGCCGACTAATAATGTCAATGTCCTCTGTTATCCTAATTATATATATTATGCTCGCATCCACTGAAGCGCATGCTGTCTGCCAGAGGCTTATGAAAACATAAATATTGGCATTAGTCGTCTATGTTGACGTGGCCATGTGAATATAATTTATTGTGAGTTTTGATATTTGCCTTGAAAAGCGTCTGTATCCTTAATTCGTTGAAAATTCATTTCGTTTTTTTTGAAAATATTTTCGGAATTTGTTTGTTGTGTGTTATTGTTAAAAGCGAATCATTGGCAAAGCTGAAAGGATTTTTCTCATGGTATATTGGAATGAAAAAAAGTTCGCTTTTTTTAGAGGATTTCCAAGAAATGCAGGGTTGAAAGATTTTTCTTTGAAAGGATTCCTCATCAGGAGTCTCAAAGGATTAAATATAATTCGGAATGAAGGCAACAATAATAAACCAGCCTCTCTTTAGGCTCGTTTTTTAATTTAGCAAATAATTCTAAATTTAAAAAATAATATACCTTAGCTAGGGGGGCGTATACGTGTTGACAGAACGTATACGTGTTCCTGCTTTAAATGCAGTATGAAATTATTATCTCCAAAAATCTTGCAGATGTTTCATTTTTTCTTAAATTTTATTTAAAAATGATTTCTAGGAACCCTAAGGATTCCGACCATAAATCTCCTTCCCCCTTCTCTGAGGAGGTGCAACAATGCGTATAAGTACCGACAGCACTTATACGCCATTGATAAGCACAAATAATGATGTTAGCTAGCAGAAGAGCCTTCACCATTTCTAGTACCATGAACCTCTATTCCATAAGATCTAACCCTTAAACCCCCCCCAAAAAAAAGAAAACACCGACAAAAACTTACTCCGCTAAGCCTAATTGCTTCACACCAATTAACATAGACATTTTCTAGCCTCACATACAATTACACGAATTTTTCCTAAGCTTCTTTCATTATTATTTCAGTTTTGCAGTTTTTTTTTGTCAGTCACTTCGATGCTTTTTTAAATGGCATGTCTCTTAGCTTGAGTGGCGTCTAGTCAAATGTCAGACATACTTGACACATTTTTTTTTTTTTCGTTTTGGCCACCAGCCGCTATTTCCGCTACTTTTTTGTTTGTCACTTATCTTTAAAGAAAAAAAAATCGTCTCCTGCTTTTGGCTGTGTTTTTTGGTTTTCCACGCCACTCCTGTCTTTGCCTTGGCCCGAGCCAAGGCCAACAACGTAATTTGTCTTATTTTTGTTGACGAACAGGCCAATGTCCTTCCACAAAGGAAAAATTTGTCACTGCTGGTTTTTTTTTTTTTTTTTTTTTGCAAACAAGGAGAAGACGAGGGAAAAATCAAGCGAAATAATTTAAGCTCTGTAGAGCATTAAATGGATTTTAGAGAAGAATTTCTGGGTTAATCGAAGAAAAGTTTATGGACAGGAACTGGATGATCAGTAAGTTCATATCGATGAAACTCTTTGTACAGACTTTTGGTACAGTGAAGCTGGCGGCCCAAACTCTCGGCATTGAGAAGCTGGATGCGCAAACCCTCCGTAAAAAGAATCTGGCTGGCCTGAGTCTCAGTACAAAGAAGCTAGCTGACTAGGCTTTCGGTCCTGGCGAGTTGGATGCCCAGACTCTCGGTACGAAGAAGCTGGCTGGCTATACTTTCGGTACAGTGTAGCTGGCTGGCCCAACTCTTGGAAGAGAAAAGCTGGTTGGCCACACTCTCAGTACAGAAAAACTATCTTGCTTGGGTCTTGGAAGAGAGAAGCTGGAAGGCCAGACTCTCGATACAGAGAAGCTGACTGACCAAACTATCGTTACAGAAAAGTTGGCTGGCCAGACTCTCGGTACAGAAGAAATGGCTGCTCAAATTCTCGGTACGGAGAAGCAGGCTGACCAAACTTGTGGTACAAGGAAGCTGGCTGGCCCAAAACTCTCGTTATTGAGGAGCTGGATGGCCAAACCCTCCGTAAAATGAATATGGCGTACCAGAGTCTCGGTACAGAGAAGCAGGCTGATCAGACTTTCGGTACAGTGAAGCTGGCTGGCCCAAACTCTCGTTTTTGAGGAACTGGATGTCCAAACCTTCCAGAGTCTTGGTACAGAGAGGCTCACGGGCCAGAGTCTCGCTACAAAGAAGGTGGCTGGCTCTACTCTCCGCACAGAGAGGCTGGCTGCTCAAACTCTCGGTACAGAGTAGCTGACTTGACAGACTCTCGGTACAGAGAAGTTAGCTGGCCAGACTCTCGGTAAAAGAAACTAACTGGCCAGACTTTCGGTACAGAGCACTTGACTGCCCAGACTTTCGGTAGAAAGAAGCTAGCTGACCAGACCCTCGGTGCGGAAAAGCTGGCTGGCCATACTTTCGGTAGAGAGAAGCTCGCGGACCAAACTCTCGGTACAGAGACCCTCGGTACCGAGAAGCTAGCTGTCCAGACTCTCGGTGCAGAAGAGCTGGAGGGCCATGTTCTTGGTACAGAGAAACTGTCTGGCCAGACTTTCGCTGCAGAGAAGCTGACCAGCCAGACTTTCGGTGCAGAAAAGTTTACTGGCCGGACTTTCGCTACAAAGAAGATAGAGGACCAGACCCTCGGTACAAAGAAGCTAGCTGGCCATATTTTCGGTACGGAGAAGCTGGCTGACAAGACTCTCGGTATAGAGAAGCTGGCTGGCCCATCCCTCGGTGCAGAGAAGCTCGCGGCCCAAACTCTGGGTACAGAGAAGTTGGCTGACCAGGCTCTCGGTACAGAAGAGCTACTTGGCAAGACTTTCGGTGCAGAAAAGTTGATTGGCCATACTGTCGGTACAAAGAAGATAGCTGACCAGACCCTCGGTACGGAAAAGCTGGCTGGCCATACTTTCGGTACAGCCAAACACTCTGTACAGGGAAGCTAGCTGGCCAGACTCTCAGTACAGAAGAGCTGGCTGTCAGGAATCGTGATACAGGGAAGCTGGCTGTCCAGAATCTCGGTACACAGAAGTTGGGTGGCCATACTCTCGGTACAGAGAAGCTGGCTAGCCGGACTCTCAGTACAGAAGAGCTGACTGGCCAGACTTTCGATTCAGAGAAGCTGGCTGACCAAAACCTCAGCACAAACAAGCTGGCTCGCCAGAAACTCGGTACAGAGATGCTGGCTGCCAGACTCTCAGTACAGAAAACCCAGCTGTCTAAACTCTCGGTACAGAGAAGCTGGCTGGCCAGACTTTCTGTACGGAAAAGCTGGATGGCTAGACTTTCGGTGCAGAGAAGCTGACTGGCCAGACCCTCGGTACGGAGAAGCCAGCTGGCTAGAGTTTCGGTACAAAGAAACTAACTGGCCAAAGTCTCGGTGCAGAGAAGCTGGCTGGACCAAGTCTCTGCACAGACGAGCTGGCTAGCCAGACTTTTGGCACAGAGAATTTGGATGCCCAGACTGTAGGTGCAGAGAAGCTGGCTGGCCAGACTCTCGGTTCAGAGAAGCTAACTGGCCAGACTTTCGGTGCAAAGAAGCTGGCTGACGCAACTTTTGGTACAGAGTAGCTGGATGACCAGACTCGATACAGAAAAGCTAGCTGACCCAAACTCCCGTTACATAGAAGCTGACTTGCCAGACCTTCGACACAGAAAAGCTGGCAGGCTCAACACTTGGTACAGACAATTTGGCTGGCCAGACTCTTGCTACAGAAAAGTAGACCGCCCAGATTCTTGGTATAGAGCAGTTGGCTGGCCAAATCATCGCTACAGAGAAGTTGGCTGGGCAGACTCTCGCTACAGAGAAGTTGACTTTCCAGACCCTCAGTACTAAGAAGCTGACTTCTCGGTACAGAATTGTTTTTCCGTAACTTTTTTTTAAATTATAACCTCCAGTTATTTTATTTTTCCGTTCCATTTTTGTCCCGAAAAATTAAAGCAACATATTTTCCATTGTTTATTTCCACTTCTTTCCTTTCTTTTATGCCATTTCGTCGACCATAAGCATTCCATTGTTTAAAACATCCCATTACATATATGCATATGACGATTCTTTTGAAAGTGAAATCAGGTTAATGGAAGCTTACATATGTTCGGTATGCCAAACAACAACAATACCTGCATTTAAAGATTACATGAAAATTGTATTGTACCGCAGGCATACAAGAGGGGAGGGGGGTCGAGAGAGAGATACAGTTGCATGAATTCTTTTGTAGTTGCCCAACGAATTAACAAGCCTATGCGGAAGCCAGAAAATATAAAGTAGACATGAAATGGAAGAACGAACAAGGAGTTATACAAAAGTTTAATGGCAACAAGAACGAGATTTTAGAAGGCAAATGCCTAAAATGTACATTAGCTTCAAGAAAGGTTAGAGAAAAAAAATTGGAGAAAAATTTAAAGTGACTTTAGTATCTTTTACGGCCATAAAACCACAGGGGAGTCGAAGAATTTTTCTCCACTAAGTCCAGAGTAACATAGCTTATGTTCTCAACTATAAATTCCAATTTTAATTTCGTTTCTAGCTCCCATGTAATCCCTAAGACACTCAATTGAAAGTACTTACCCCGCGGCGTATAAGTGTTGACAATAGTCATACGCCCACATGCACCATTACCCAAAAATAATACATTCCCCGAAATAAGCCACAAAAGAGGTTTTCATTTGAGCATTTAAAATTCCGCCAGGACTTAAAATGTCACCACTTTTGCCAAAGTTTATTACACTCACTTAACTATTAAGTGATCTCGGGCGATTGCGAAAGAAAATATCTCCAAAGAGAACATCGTATTTTTCTCTCCTTCGTTTTCTTTTTGTCTTCTTCGAACCATGACAGCTTTACTGCCCCAATAACTTTATGGCGACCATTTTACTTAGCAGTTTTTCGAATTGCTTTGCAATTTTCTTATTGCCGGGAAAGTGGTCAGGATTAGTTTCACACCTGCCGGATGGAAAAACAAAAAGCTTTTGGGCTTTGCCGGTAAATTGTGGTTTTCACTTTGGATTCGAAAGGAGAAATTTATTCTTTTGTGGTTTCCTGAGAAAAACCACTTTTAATCAGCGAGAATATTTTGGAAAAATAAAGGAAATTTTGGGAAAAAAGGAGAGACTTTACCGATGAGCTGGGGGGCAGAGAGACTTTTCGGACCTTCAAAATCTGGCTGGTATGGGTATGTAGAAGCTGCCTGCCCAGACTCTTTGTGTAGAGAAACTAGCTGGCCAGAGAACCTGGTGGGCCTACAGAGGAGTTGGTAGGACAGACTCTCGGTACAGAGAAGCTGGCTGCCCAGACTCTCCGCACAGAGAAGTTGGCTACCCAGATTCTCGGGGCAAAGAAGCTAACTGGCCAGACTCTCGGCACAGAGAAGCTACTTGGCCAAACTCTCGGTATTGAGGAGTTAGATGGCCAATCTGTCGATACAAAGAAGCTGGCTAGACAATCTTTCGGTACACAGAAACTGGCTGGTCAAACTTTCGGTACAGAGAATCTTCCTCGCCGAACTTACGGCACAGACGAGCTGACTGGCCACAGTTTCGGTACAGAGAAGCTGGCTGGCCAACCTCTCGGTATTGAGGAGCTAGATGGCCAAACTCTCGGTACCAAGAGGCTAGCTAGACAATCTTTCGGTACAGAGAAACTGGCTGGCCAAACTCTAGGTACAGAGAAGCTGGCTGGGCGAACTTACGGTACAGACGAGCTGACCCGTCCACAGTCTCGGTACAGGGAAGCTGGCTGACAAGGCACTTAGGACAGAAAGACTGTGTGGCTATAGTCTCGGTACAGAAAAGCTGCCTGGCCACACACTCGGTACGGAGAATATGCCTATCTAGACTATCGGTACATAGAAGGTAATGGGCCACAATCTTGGTACAGAGTAGCTGGCAGGCCACACTCTCGGTATGGGGAATATGCCTATCTAGACTATCGGTACACAGAAGCTGATGGACCAGAATCTCGGCACGGAGCAGCTGGCTGGCCCTACTCTCGGTACAGAGTTGCTGACTGGCCAGACTTTCCGTACGGAGAATATAGATATCCAGACTCTTAGTACGGATATGCTGGGTGACAAATTTCTCGGTACAGAGAAGCTGACTGCCTAGACTCTCAGTACAGAGAAGCTGGCTGATCAAACTAGCGGTATAAAGAAGTTGGCTGGCCCAATGCTCGGTACAGAGAATTTGACTGGCCTGACATTCCATACATAGCAGGTGGATGGTCCAACTCTCGGTACAGAGAAGTTGGCTAGGCCAACTGTCAGTACGGAGAATTTGCCGGGCCCAACTCTCGATGCGAAGAAGTTTGTTGGCCAAAATCTCGGTATGAGGATTCTTGCTGGCAAGACTATTGGTACGGAAAAGCTGGTTCGCCAGACTCTTAATACAGATAAGCTTGCTGGCCCAAGTCTTGGTGCAGAGAATCTGGTTGCCCAGATTCTAGCTGCTAGCAGACTCTCGGTATAGAGAAGTGGTTAGCCAGGATCCCGTTACGGATAAGCTGGCTGGCCAAACTCACGCTACAGAGAATTTGGCTGGGCTGGATTTCCATACATAGAAGGTGGCTGTCCTACTCTCGGTGTGGAGAAAGTTGGTTGGCCCAACTCTCGGTATTAGGATTCTGGCTGGCAAGACTATCAGTACTAAAGAGATGACTTGTCAGGCTCTTCATACATAGAAGCTGACTGGCCCAACTCTCGGTACAAAGAAGCTGGCTGGCCCAGCTTTCCGTACAGAGAAGTTGAATGCCGGAACTCTCAGTACGGAGAAGCTGGGTGCCTAGACTCTTGGTACGGAGAAGCTTGCTGCCCAACCTCTCGGTACTCAATAGCAGGCTGGCCAAACACTCTATAAAGGGAAGCTGCCGGGCCATACTCTTGGTACAGAAGAGCTAGCTGGCCAGACTCTCGGTGCAAAGAACCTGGGTGGCTACACTCTCGCTACAGGGAAGAGGGCTCCCCAGAATCTTAGTGCAGAAAAGCTAGCTGACCAGACCCTCCGTACGGAGAAGATGAACCGCAAGACTCTCGGTACAGAGAAGCTGACTGGTCAGACTCTCGGTATAGAGAAGCTAGTTGTCCAGACTTCCGGTACAGAGTAGCTAGCTGGCCCAACTCTTTGTACAGAGGAGCTGGCTGTCAAGATTCTTTGTGCAGAGAAGGTAACTGGCCATACTGTGGGTACAGAGTAGCTGTCTGGCCAGACTTTCCGTACGGAGAATCTAGCTATCTAGACTCTCGGTACGAAGATGCTGGGTGACCCAACTCTCGGTACCGAGAAGCTGGTTGTCTAGACTCTCAGTACAGAAAAGCTGGCTGGCCCAACTCTCGGGACAAAGTACCTGGCTGGCCAGGCTCTCAGTACGTGTAGCTGCCTGGCCAGGCTCTCTGTTCCGGGTAGCTGCCTGGCCAGACTCTCGGTATAGAAGTAGCTGGCTGGCCAGGTTCTCGGTATTAGCTTCCGATTGGTTAAGCTTTTGGAACAGAGAGGTAGGCAGGCCAGACTTTCGGTTCAAAGAAGCTGGCTGTCCAGAATCTCGGTATAGAACAGCTCGCTGGCGTAACTCTGGCTAACGGGGACGATGGCTGCGCAGTTTATCGTTACAAAGGAGGTGGCTGCACAGTTTCTCGTTACAGAGTAGCTGGCTGCCCAGCCCAGACTCTCGGTGGGATACGGCTACCCAGCCTCTCCCTTGTCCTCCAATTTGTCATTGACACTCCAGTTCTTCTATATAGACTCTCTGCCCTCTCATAGTGTCTTCACAAATTTACTGGATCTCGAACCCATCTGTATCGACTCTCTGGCCTCTCTCTCTTTTCTGTACAGACTCATTGGCCCTCCAACTTGTCTGTACGGACTTATCGGCCCTCTAACTCTTTTGGATTGACTCACTGGCCCTCTAAGCGATCTATTTAGACCCTCAGGCCCTCCAACTCATCTTCATTGAAATATTGGCCTTCCAACTTGTCTGTATCGTCTCCCTGGCCCACCAACTTATCTGTACCGATTTGCAGGACTTCTAACTTCCCTCTAGAGATACTCTGTTCCTTGGAAACTTCGCTGGAGACTCAATGACCCCTTAAAACATTTCTGCAGACTTACTGACACCTCAGTCTCATTGGCCCTCCAACTTGTCTGTACGGACTCATCGGCCTTCCAACTCCTTCGTATTGACTCACTGGCCCTCCAGGTGATCTAGTTAGACTCTCTGGCCTTCCAACTTATCTTCATTGAAAAATTGGCCTTCCAACTTATCTGTACCGTCTCCCTGGCCCTCCAACTTTTCTGTGGCGACTTTCAGGACCTCCA